TTTCTCTTCATTTGTGCGGTTTTGACGGCAATTCCCTCAGCCAGTGTCTTCCACAAGAGACAGGTCACGGCCAGCAACAGCCACCTGCAGGGGAGCAGCTGCTACTTGTGCCCGAGTGTCACAGGAGGGGAATGTCACCCGCCAGAGGCGCAACAGGCACAGCTCCCGCTCACCCATCTGTCCTTTGAGAACTTATGTGGCTGTTGCATCCAAATCCTGCTTTGTGTAGGGAGAAAAAAAAAAAGCCTTAAGAGAGAGGATGTTAACAGCAAACTAGAGAACAAGGCCACCACGACACCCTTCTCGTAGCCATGGAGCTGTAATAAGCTTTCATTTCTCCTTTTCTCACAGAGTGTGTTTGATGTGAAAAATATTTATAGTGCTGCGTGAAAGAACACCCCTTGTTTGAGTGCTATGAGCAATAAAAACGTTCTTGTGAAGCTGCGTACCCTCCTGAGCGCGACTCTGCGATGGGCCCCAGAGCCACACCCCTGCCCGCCCCACTGGCACATTGGGCCATTCAAAACATCTCCCTCCGCTTGTTTTTACGCTTTATTAAATACACCTCCGAGGCAGAAGCCGGTTTATTCGTTCTCCTCGCTGCGCAGTCTGGCGTTGGGATTGGTGATCTTGATGGCGAGCTGGGCAGCTCTCTCCACGATGATCTTCCGGTTCTTGGAAGACACGTTGTGAGCGATCTCGGCGCAGTACGACCTGTCGGGAACGCACCACGCGTCAGGCTCAGCTCCCAGAGTCAGCAAGAGTAGTTTTAATGGTGTTAATTATTACTCTTATTGTTTTGAAAGGAAGTGCTACACGTAGATTTGGGCCCATGTCTGAACAGACACACCGCTGCAGTTCTGGTCGCTGTTTTATCAGAGCGACGTCAGAGCAGCACCACTTACCTCCACCATAACATACTTTTGCCACAGTTTTGAGTTTCCTGCCTCAATTCCCTGTGTGCCCTCCCGCCAGCAGCGCTGAGGAAGCCAAAACAACCTCCATGCTACCGAAACCAAAAACTTCCCTCTGCATCTGCCTGTGCTGCCTTCTCACCTCCCGACCCAGCGCTGGTGGCAGAGCTGCCCCCCGCCGTGTCCCACCACGGACTCACTTGTTGCTCATCATGAGCACCTCCAGCTCTTTGACGTTGTGGACCAGGAACTTCCTGAAGCCCGAGGGCAGCATGTGCTTCGTCTTCTTATTGCTGCCGTAGCCGATGTTGGGCATCAGGATCTGGCCCTTGAACCGCCGGCGCACTCTGTTATCGATACCTCTCGGTTTACGCCAGTTGCGCTGAAGAAAGGCAGAAAACACGCAACAGTTACAAAATGAGGTCGGTCTGAAAACGCCTGCCTCAAGGCAACAGCTCCAGCCCAAACTAATCTCCAGCCAGATCCACCATGAGCTGCTGTTTGCACGCAGACCCCTTGTGCTTTAGCTCACCACCCACCCCAAGGGCCTCGTCCGTCTGTCTCGGAGATCACTTCTGAAGGAAGCTCCCATGACTCCTTACCTTGATCTTGACATAGCGATCAGACTGATGGCGGATGAACTTCTTGGTCCTCTTCTTGACGATTTTAGGTTTCACGAGAGGTCTGAGGGCAGGCATGGTGCCTAAGAAAAACAGAACCGGGGTGAGAAGGGAAACCCGAGGCACGGGTGCCGTGTCGCTGTGCCCGTGGGGCGTGTGGCAGACTCTCTTCCACTCGCTGGCCACGGCGCAGGCTCAGGAGGGAATGGGTGTTCATCTGCAGTGGCTCTCCCTCCCGCCTCCGAAGCTGGCAGAGCACCGAGAGCTCTCCAGA